ATGAAGAAGCCGAGTGAGAGGGTAAGTATTTGATTTCCTAGGGTGTTGATCACCGCCTTGGAGATCGGCGTCTTTCAACCTAGTCCCAAAATGCGAGAAAGATGTGATCGGTAGGTACTGGCGATGCTGTTGCGTCAGACCGGGACTGGCGACAAACACATCAGTTGTATGAAGGTGAAAGGTCTGTCCAGCTGCTGCATCCGATATGGTCTTCAGTCGACTTAACTCAGTCTTGTCAGTGGTTCGTGATTTGTGGATGGAAGAGCCAGACCCATTGCGTTACACGACGCTTCTGCGCGATAGGGGTTATGTCTCCAAGGACTACTGGCCAGCCGCAGATAACTTGATCTTTGGAACTACGAGCCGAATGATGACGACTCACCAGTGTAACAGTCGACTGAGTTAAGCGTGTTTCATGTGGTTTGAGGGGACACGCAGACGGGGGCTTTGTCCGAACCCCGTCTCCCGCCATATTGGCCTCATGGGAGGAAGTTGGTGCTACTTACCTCTGTCCATAATTAAATTAATGAGCCAATCCACTGTTTTTCCGGGTGTTTTGTTTGTTCTCGCGAAGTTCAACGAGTGCACCTCTTGAGCAGGGTTTATGTCGCTTTTCGATCGGGAGGGGGGGGAGGTGGGCGAAGATCGATTTCCCTAGCTCTTCGTTCAGTTCCCAGCACCAACAAGGTTATATTAATTTGAGAAAACCGAAACGGGAACAGATGAACCGTTTTTTGGGAGGGAGGTTGTAAAGCCTCACCTTTAACAACAAGTAACTCACACTTTTCATTGCATCTAATGCTGGCCTCCTTTACTTCCTCTCCCCTGGACTTCAGAAATTCTTCATTCGAAGTTCGAAAAATGAGAACTATGCCAAATACTCCTGCTCAAAGGTGAACGCCTGTGAGGTGAACAAAGACACGCGGACGCACTGTCAACGCTGTCGGTATCAGAAATGTCTTCGTATCGGCATGGTGCTTCCTGGTAAGTCATTATTATTAAATACTGTGACAGCAACGCTTTTACGGCAAACGAGGGGACACACCCCCATCCGTTAGGCCGTATGGCTACTGCGTTTCCTGTCTATCCCTCGGCTCGAGCTCTCTTTTATCCTATTTTAAAGAGCATTTACGGCAGTTCTGTTTTGGTACTGTTTCTGTCATCCAGACCATGGAGTTTCAGCGTCTTTTCGAGCGGCTGCTGTATAATTGTATTGGCAACTTACTTCATGGGTCGCAATAAGGAGTTCCCAAACATGGTTCTGGCAAGTTGTTTCTACACACTCACCGATTCCGCTAAGTATGACTTCGGTCTTTTGCATTCATGGGCGGTTACCGCAGTGGGTTTAGTCACAACTACGATTTCGCCGCATGGCTGGCAGCACTTGCTTGAGCACCTTTTCCACCTCCTTGACTCCGGTGACCAATTGAGCTCAAATTTCAGTGCAAGGGGCTCATCGCGAGCGCTGAATAAATAGCATACGAACCGGAGAGGTGGACGGACGTTTCTATTGGAGGATTAGCTCATTGTAGCATATTGGTGTGGCCGCATTGCATACAACGAGCCCATATAGCTTGTTCGGAAGTGTGTGTGTGTGTGGCAGTTCTTTAAAATCAAGCCTCCGGACGGGATGACCGAGTTGTCTGATCCCTCAGAATGCAAGAACAGCCGCTGCTGAACGTGATGGAGGCGTGCGAGTACGGTACGACAGACTTACGATACAATTCTAGCAGAAACGCCGTCTTTAGACGGGAGGGAACGCGCAGCCTTGTCCGCAGTCGCTACAATCATCGACCAGTGACGCATCGTCCCCCGCCGTGCTTTGCAATAACGTCTGCATGACGCAACTCCACCGCCACCACTTCCCCTGTGCGGCGCAGCGCATGGTCCGGTCTCGAGATTGCGCCAGCCGGCGAACCGAGCGCGCGTACGCACACCACCACCACCACCACCACTGATGCGTGTCCAAAATTCGGACTGTTGCCAGTTTTTGTCATGACGCGATGATGACTCAAGAGGGCTAGCCAGCAGCCCGTGTGCACACACACACACACACAAGCCCCCATGCATGTGTGCGCGTTTTGTGTTACACGCCACACGAACTTGACTGAATTAGTCATGCACCATATTTACTGCGTGTGTATATTGCCTAAGACGACCTCATTCGCGCTGTCCTTGCAGTTGGGCCTCTTTAAAGCTCCTATTTACTTCCAAACAGGCGAAGGCTAGATACCTCTTGAGCAACCGTGTGAGATGTCAACAAACAGTCTGCACTAAAATTGAGCAATGGATTACTTCGCTGGAAGATCTGTGCACGGGATACAGACGGGGGTGGTGAGAGGTGCCTTTTCATGAAACTCCAACTTGAGGGGCAAGGAGTTTACCTCCATTAAACCCCCACGAGTCAATTATGCCGTATTAACCGATCACTGCAATTTGATGATACGCTCTCCCGTTCAGCACAGGAGGCCTGGATTAGAAGTCGGTTACTCGGAAGCTACAAACCATCAGAGTACCTATGCTGTCAGAACAGGAGTCAGCGTTTGGGCAACGTCCAGGTGGAGGCGTACAATTCGCCTGAGTTGAATAACGCGACATTTGTGCGCTTGATACAGGTGCGCGCGACCCGGTGGGTCCCCCGCTCTCGCAGCCTACATCAATCACCAGTTGGGGGGCGGAGGACCAGACCCCGCCGATGTACGCCTGGTTGGACACCGAAGGGGAAGGGAACCAGCACATGGGGGGGGGGGGGAGAGGTTGGACCGGAGAGTCCCATAAGTCTGTCCCCCCTCTGTCCAACTGGCTGCTGTGAGCGTGAAAGCGTTCCCACGCTGGTACACGCAGTTTAAACTAAATCAGACTGCTGCTGTTGCTGCTACTGCTGCTGCCACGCAGCGTACACACATTGACCACTGGTCAGGAAACTTGGGTGGTCAGCTAACCCTGTCTCCACATAAAGCCATCTCGCTGATGTCCCCCCGGTCCTGGGTGTGACACCATGCATTAGCTTACTCAGAAGTACATACATACACACACGTACAGACGCACATGTATTCTTCCTGTCGCTCACTGGCCGTGTGGGAAACTGAGTTGTCTCAATCCCAGCGATCGACTGAGCCATCAAAATTGGAGGCATGACGAGTGTGTGGGAGGCTAGTTGGGGTGGTAGGGTGGGGGGGGGGAGTTCTATACGGGCGGGAGGACCATCCCGTCATGTCCACGCGCGTAAGCACTCCAGTTCTGTCCGCCTGCGCTCTTGCCCAGTCCGGATTGCAATTGCATCCCTTATTTCCGACTGCAGCGCTATTCTACGGGTTATCATACCGCCAATGCAGGGGCCGAACCGGGTGAGCACATCCGTCGATAACACATTGATTGGATCGTGCAACCAACGCAGCCGCAAAAAAACCGGTAATGTGACGGCCGGCCCACTTGAACTCTGGCACAATGGTGGTGGTGATGTAGGAACAGCTACTGGGAGACGAGGAAGCCACACGACCTGGCGGACGTCGCGACCACACACTCATTGACTTTCATTTTTTATAGGAATCGGCTACAATGGCAATCTTGTGCCTACGTCCACTGGCTGAAATGTTTGATTAGTAGTCATTTTTTTGAATTACAAGGCGAATCTACAGGCTTCTAAAAGCAAGTGCCTCGACATAGAGTCACGAATAACCTGTAATTCTTAGAACAAGTGAACGAACATGTTGTGATCTGCAGAAGTAATGTCAGAAATTTATTTGCTTGAATACTACAGAAAGTCGGAAAATGTACATATTTGGAAAAATGTTGTCTTTAGGAAGGCTTGTTAGGCCACTATATGCCGACAAAACCTATACTCACAACAATTGCTGAATACAAATGTTCCTTAAATAACACGAAGAGGCCTAGTAACATTGACCCCATTTTTATTAGATTAAATGGACAATTTCTGGTTCCCATTCAGATAACACACAATTAGACGGCTGTATTTCCAAAGTACACCAGTATTTTTTGGCAGGGTGGCTATTGTCTGTCGTGAAAGGCCTTCTGTAAACTGTTGACTAATACCCTCGAGTGCTGGCATCTGCCATCTGCGAGCGTTTTCAAGTCGTAAGTAAAGGACGTCCGACTTCACAACAATTTACAAATGTCCGGGGTCCATATATGATTTATCTCGCAGAAGCTGTTCCTCCAGTTATTGTTTCCTCCTGGAAGCAATTCCTAAGAACTGTCTGACTTTTTTTGCTTTGGTCTCCCTTTTTTTACCTCGGAGTCTCTCATCCTGGTTTTTCATCCATTGAATTTTACCCCCGCCCAGGTGCAGCAGTCTGTCCGGCGAATGACATTTCTATAATTCCCTGCCGTGTCTGTGGCGCTCAGTCCTCTGGTTTTCATTTTGGAGCGATCACCTGCGAGGGCTGCAAGGTGGGTTTTACGCAAGGCCTGTCATTTCTTCCCCACCTTCCCTGTGTACTGCTGTCAAGAAAAGTAAAGTCGGATTTTGTTTGATCCTCCACAGGGCTTCTTTCGTCGTACAATAAGTGAGCGGGACAATCAACGCTACACTTGCCGGAACGGTGGTACCTGTCTAATAACCTTAGCCACACGCAACAACTGCAAGAGTTGCCGCTATAGGAAGTGTTTGTCTGTAGGGATGTCCAAGGACGGTGAGTATAAATTGACGATAAAAACACATTACTGAATATGCTATAGTAACAATGGCTGACTATCTAAATACTTTGCTTTGTAGGAAGTCGAATCGGCCGGCAACCGAATGCCGTAAAACATATGTGCGCAATGGAAATCGAGAGGATCCGCGCCAAGACAAACACGCCCACTTCACCCAATGGGCAACTGTACGGCGATCAGGTGTTACACCATCAGCACCTGCAGACACCGAGAATTGATTTTCCCTCTAATACCAGCTCATATCCGCCCTCCGGCCGACTTGGCCAAATGAAGACCGAACAGCAGAATCACGAAATCCACTTGACGGCTCAGGAAGGTGGTAGCAGACAGACTGCAAGGTTGCAAAACATTATACCCAACCGCATGTCAGCTTTCTCACTCCACTCGCAAAACGTTGCATGGGCCGGCTTCGCTTTCCCCTCTGCTGAGCTTAAGACTGAACAGACGAAACCAGTGCCTATGGAGGCTGAAGATTACATGCACTGTGATAAGGAAGCCCAGCCTGCACGTCAAGGCCAACCATCAGCACACTTTTCGGACCCGAATTCCAGCCAGGGGGTAAAGCTTGAGGCTCAGGCCGCAGCACTGGGATTAAATCCCCTCCAGTCTCAATGCATCGACAAATTCGCCAATAGATTACGTGAAGGCTATGACACCGAAAAACATCAGTGTCCAGGTGATGAGGACATAGGCATTATTGGCCGAGCCAATTATAATGGAGACAAGAAGTCCGCCGACAGTGAAAGAGCCAGCAGAATGAGTAATTTGTCACTCGCAAAATTTGCAAAACTCGCCGAACTGGCCAAAGGCATGCCACCCTACCAGAGGACGCAAGAATTTCCCGGTGATTTCCTGTCCCAACGAGACGGGCATGCAGGATACATCTACGGAGAGGAGGCTCCGACGCGTTGCGACCCGGTTGGTTTCGGGGCTAACTGTCAACGACCAGTGACGAGCAGCTGCCATCATGATAGTCGCCACCGGATCGACCTGGAGACAGGAGAGGGATTTACAGTCGGCGGTGCAGCAACCGGTGAAGGCGAAAGAGTGGAGGGCGACGAGACTCGATCGGAAGTCTCTGTGGGAGTAAATTACTTGTCACCACCGCGGTCCCTTCTAGGACGCTATGAAGTCACATTCGGCTTGCGGTTGAGAACTGGCTCCGATGCAAGTGACTCCGCTCCTCGTTATCGACAGCCGGAGGCACCAACTGACTCGGGTCAATCCAGCAGTGAGGAGTTTATTGCCAACTCTGACAAGATGGTCGAAGAAGTGGAGGCGAGATTTGGGAGATCTGGCACCTACCTTGATTCAACTTCAGATAGGCGAGGGAGCAGCCCAATTAACAATTACGAACAAGAGGCTGTAAGTTAATTGCATGCATTAGAGCACACTTTGCTACCTACTTGTGTGTATGATATGGCAGTAATCCGAACAGCACGTCGTTTTCAAGATTTCCAGCCTGATCCGCCTGGCTAAGAGGGTCGACTCCGCGAGCGACTCAGGCACAGCCGAAGGGATAGCCCGTCTGGAAATGAACGCACCGACTTCAGTTGGTATACAAGAAACGGGCAGTTCGGCGCTCTACATGACACGGCCAAGTAGCGAACCCTCGGAACGGCGTCTGCTGGAGCGGATAAAAAGCGAGGCGACGGACGGAAGCGAATCGCAGACCTGTGGAGGTCGATCTCGCGGTTTGTCGGACAGCTCTCCGGAGGAGGGGAACAAATTCTTGCAAAACTACAGAGATCTGGTGGCTAGTGCCGTCGCGGTGGTCGGTCATGATGCGGACCCGACTCCGGGGTCAGACCATCCAACAGACAAAGGTGAGAACAAAGTATGCCCTATAAATGAGCGGATTTGGCTTACACCAGGCGAAGGCAATTGAAGTAAATGCTTTGGGTCCTAAACACTAAGCCAAATTAAAAATGATTACATTTTGTTTCTAACAGAAGAGATTTGTGAAGGGGACGAACGACGTCGCGAGGAGGTGAGCGAGTCGCGAGAGACAGGCGAGCGAGATCCGTCGGCACAGATGTCTTCGGACTACGGGGCAGCCAGAACGGTATTTTCCGGTTCCTTTTCGCCCGGTGTTTATCCAAGCGCGGCTGCAACTGACTTTTCGGTAAAATTCACGGCCACGAACCCACAACCTTCCCAGATCGCTTTGCCGCAGAACGGTGGCTACTCATCAGCGGCATCGACACCGTGCTACTCGTTCACTAGTCAGATGCCCCTGAAGGTGTTTACAGAACAAGTGGTTCAGGCAGCAAGCAATCTTCACGACTGCCGAAGAAGGGTATGGCGTGAAATTTATCTACTGGAATCTGCCTGGGACACCACCACCACCACCACCACCACCACCACCACCACCACCACCACCACCAGCAACAGCGCGGACAAAGTATTTAAAAATCAATGTTTTCCTGAAAACACATTACTAATTAGGGTGTTTTTTTGGACACCAAGGTCACGACAAATTTTCTCCTGGAACCAGAGCTCTCCGCATCGGTCGTGTGGGCTTACATGATGGCCCAGTTCGAGGCGCACGCACATCAGGTCATTCGGTTTGCGCGCGCCATTCCAGGTTTTCGAGATCTTCCTCGTTCAGACACCAAAGTCCTGGTGCAAGAGAGTATGTACCCAATAGTCCTCATCCAAATGTCACGTGACTTCAATGCCACTTCCATGGAGTACAATTTCTTCAACTTCACGCCCCGAGAACGCAGGTATATTCTCACCGAATTTCCTATCATGAGGAAGGTTGCTGCCCAATTGCGTGACGCTGGAACCTTCCTCAGGCCAAAGAATATGGATGAAAACGAGATTGCCCTCCTCTGTTGCATCGTCTTCTTGCAGCACTGTAAGCTACCTCGCTGTTGCGCCTAAAGTAGTACTTCACCTCTTCCTGGTTTCGAGTGTTTTGTAATTTAGTCGGTCCCCCGGCCTGTTGGCGTCGGCGGATTAGTCTGCTTAAGTTAAGTTTGGACTCGTTTTCCCTTAAGCTTTCGACCGTAATAGTTACCGTAGGTGGCGTAACTCGTGAGACGAACGAAAATTTTCGAAAAAGTGTCTAGCCAGTCAGGAACTGATTTGACCGAAAATCGACCAAAACTAAAAGAACTTCAGTTAACTGGCAACGTGGAAGCATTGAGGGTGGCACTACCTTGGTTAGAACCGACAACCTTCTTAAGCATTTTGAAAATACCGAAAGCGCAAATACTCATGTCGAATGAGTAAATTCGATTCACAAAAATACATAAGACCCGTCCATACAAGTAGCCGAGCAAATATAACTACTCGCAAAATAAAATCAAAAAACACCTGGGCCACTTTTGGTTTAAATATCCCCCAAGGATTGGCTCAGCTACAGTATAGCTGCTAGCCAACACTTGGCTCACGATTATAGGTTTAAAAGTAATGTTACGAGTATTCAATGTAATTCGTCGATTTTTGCATTGCTCGAGATGCGGTTGGTTGAGATAAAGAGGATTTCGCTTGAGTTCACGGATGGGGACGTCATAAAAACAACAGCTTTTGAAGGATCGTGTGTTGAGAGGCCGGTCATAAACATTCCATACCACTTCATCCCATGAACATGTCATTTTCTGTGTATCAGGTACTGCGTGCTTTCTGGCGACAACAGAATCTGCCAAGTCTCAGGGTGTCCTTAAAATATCGACGGATACTTTGCAGTTTTCTGTGTTCTCCACGGACTGCCCAGGAAGATAGGTTCTGTAGTTTTTGTTTGTCGAAACCTTTGAAATAGGACAATTCTTGACGATTTTTACGTAGGAAGTGGGTTCTTCGGCGTTCTTTTTTATCCAACTGGTGGCTTGAGTCCTACTCATGGTTTCACATAAATACTGAATTCAATCGTCAAAGAAAGTGGAATTATACGACGGAGGCCTGCGACTGATAGGCTCTTGATCAACTGAGAAACCTTAGCTAATAAGTCATCTTTTTAAAAAAGTGGTTTACCAGGGTATTTCTCTGGCAATGATCCGTGTTCTTCATCTTTTTCCCAAGCGACTTTTCCCGTTTACGCACTTCTCTGGCAAATTGGTTTTTCTTTCACAAACGACCAAACTATCTTTCCCTTTTATAATAGAATCATTTTCGTTATTTTTGCTTACTATAGGGTTCAGCCCGCGATTATAGATTCACCAAAGAGTGGTCAAAATACTAAAAAAAATGTTTAGACTGTTAATGATGTGTACGTCCCAAATGATGTGTTAGTTAAAGGTAGGTCGCACAATAAGTACCCTGCCGTATGCTCAGAAGTTAAGATGGCCGCTCGACGGCGGGCCTTCCTACAGTTACCCGTGAAATATTTGCACATGCCAGGAGACTACGGGGTGCGTTAAAACAAAGGATTGCCCATGGGCGTTGTTCCTGCTTGTCAGAGCATAAAATCACACGGATTTGCAGGTCGCAATTTTTAAAGAACAGCTTTCCGTTTTTTAAGTCAACCTATTACTTCACATCCTGCTTCACTTGATTTCCGCGAAATAAAAATAGCTTTCAAGTTTGGTGAAAATTGTTTTGATACATTTTTTTGTTAGATTACTATCCACTAGTAGAAGAACACGCAATGATGCACATATTTCGTCATAGGACAATTCTCAGTATAAGAAATCCCCTGAGCATAGAGTAACGTTATTTTCGGCTCAAATTTTCAAATTGTTTACTCGATGAACCTTTTTGGTAATGCATTTTGCATGAGCAAAGGACTTTTTCGAAACCAGTTAGACTAATGAGTAAGGTAGGCAACGTTTGAAGGACCTCAAAATGATTACCCAGATCGGGGTCACCACGTCTTGCGAATCACGTCACCTGCTGTATATTTAGGCGGATGCATTGACTAAATCGATGATCGGTGTGTAAATCGTCAAGCAGACCAACTTTGAGAGATACACCTCAGATTCACTCTTTTTACGAAGCTCGAGGGTTTGGTGGCATCGTTCATTCCCCTAGCAGCGAGCTAATGTTGTAATCCGAAAGCTCTTGCCTACTGTCAAGTAAAAGCAAGTGAAGTCTTTTTACCTAGTAAGATGTAACTAATCGGCTTACATATGCATTCTTTTGCAGTCAACAGAAATCTCATAGAAAGCGATCGGATCTACGAGATGCGTGCTCATGCTGTTTCTGCTCTACGAACCTATATTACAGGTAAAATTAACTCACACCTCTAAGATGAATTTCAAACAATATGCCATTCTTAAATTAACTGATCCTCGTGTCCGACCGCGTGTGATTGAGCGACTGCCAAAATTAGTGCGCTTTCAGATTTTGTTTAGTACAGCGAATTCCGGTTAGTTGGACCATGTTCGACCTAAGCGGTTTGCTCCAAGTAATCTACTATCCCAACTGTTTGAAGTGCGATCGGACGGACAAACGTTTGGGTACATAACCACGTCTGATCAACGTTTGCTTGGGGCAAACCAGTGAAGGCCATTTTATCAGTCAGCACCAGAGCTGCTCATATTTCTCCCTAGACAAGCGCTCCCTGCTTTGTTAGTATACAAGCTGGCACTGCAAAGCGACTGGACATTCGCTAGCTCTCTTGACTGACCGATTTGCGTGACCTTGAGAGGTGCGTAGCCACTCAGACCTGTCTTTCTTAAGCAGAGTGGTAGGGCCTCATTGGTGAAGTAAATTCGGAGTATGTATACGGATTGTTGCTGTTTACCAACATTTGCTTTGAGTAGGTGGCCAGCCCGACTAGTTGGAATATAAGATATTTTTTTCATTGATACACCCAGGCGCCAACAGTTCTTACTATTTTCACTTTGTTTCTGTGCTGTGTAGTCCAGTACTCCACCGAGGAGCGCTTCTACAGTCTAATGGAAGTTTTGCCCATTCTGACGAACATGAACTCTTCTCACCGGGGCATTGTGAAGGAGCTAATGCAAACTCGACAAGACCTTCACTTTCCAGACCTCTACATACAAATGTTTAGATTAGACGACAGTACCGAGCTGGAGGCCAATAACCGGTCCGAGGGGCCAGCAGTTCTTGCACCCGGCACAACCCTATCTTCCGGTGAGGCTGAAATGATCGGGTCTGGTAACTGAAGTCCCCCGTGGACACTACCGAACAGGCCCAGAAGGACTACATGGACAACCCTTGACCCAACTCATAATGCCCTCGTAGCTCAGGTTTGCTGCCTTCTCTCTTCCTCTCGTATTTTGTCCATGTCACCTACACCCACTCTTTGTTTCTGTATGTGTTGTACCGAGGTAAACACAACTGCCAACGTGTTTTAATCGCCAATTTATCTTGTATATACCTATACATATATATAAGCATTGCATTCAAGCTTTGCCATGTACACCTTTCTTATCCGTGCACTTACCCTTTGCAAGCGCCTTACTTGTTTCGTCGCAAATTTTGTATAATAAACTCCGAAAGAATCAGGTTGCGAACTTTTGTGAACGGGTTACAACAATGGGAATGGAGCAAAAAGAAGTAAACAAGTTTGACAGATCAGCGGCGTGTCATCAGATAAACCGAAGGAGTCCATTAGGTAGGAAAATCACTAGTACTCGAGAGGACCCTGCGCAGATGTGCAGTGCAGTGATGAGAGTCGGCTATACCTCCAACGCCAGACCAAAAACTAAAAGCTGGAGACTTTGCTAATTGAGTCGAACGGCCTGCCATCGGGGCGCGAGCTCTCCACGCTGTTGACTGCGGTCGGAAGTGTTCAAAGTCGCGTGGAGATGACGTCCACCGACAAATTCTGAATGCCAGACGGAATATGTGCGATCCCGTCTGCCTTTAAAGCTCCAAACTGCAGCACTCGAGATGGTACTTTCCCCCTACAATGAAGATGGACCAGTGCATATCATTTCCTTGCGACCTCAGGAGTAATATTATCTTCCCAATCCTTGGGACTTGAGAAGGACGTCTGCGAGGCTGAAGAAACACTGCTCGCAACCAAGTTGGTGGCAGCGGCAACGATCGAGCATGTGCACATGGGTTGCTGAGGACTTGCACTCGGAAACCAGACAGTACGCACCGTGTAGGACGCGACTAGTGCACAGGACGCTCTCAGTCTCCCAAGGGAGGCGTCTGATTTGACTACTTGTAACGTTAAGCGACAGAAGCGGAACTTCGGGCAGGCATGCTATAATCCTGCGGTTGATGGGATCCTAATAGTGCTTTAAAAGAGGAGAAACGTAAGTCAGGTTGAAGTATTTTTCAACCCAGAGAATAACGTCACTGAGCTGCAGGCAGCGTGACATCTCAGCGGTCAATTCCATCTCTACCATAGCAAGCTCTCCCCGAGCAAAATAGCCGCCCAGTTCACCGCACTGCACCAAGGTTGCGTATATCAGGCGCCAAAGAACAGACCCGAAACGCCTCAGTCTTCTTTCCTGAAAGGACTGAGGTATCTTCGCGAAGTCGCAGCGACTGCGGACTGCCTCATTCAAAACGAAGTCGAAGTACTTCACTCAAAGGGTGGTTCTCAGGCGACGGTGGCTAAACATCTAGTTTTCGACCTTTTTTTCACGCGTGCAGAAGAGCAGTCACAACAGTATGGGAGGACTAACTGGATGAAGTTCAGGTACATGTGAATCTTTGTGGCGATGAGGATATCGCGTTGGATCCATAGAAAGTTTGTAGAGATTTTGAAAACCCTGTGTGCGACATCGATTCGGGAGACGACACCGTCTTTACCCTCCACTCGACAGTCTCCGACGGAACGCGAATAAGTACCTTATATTAATTATATTTATAGTGTCTACTTGTTTGATTTAGGTAGTTTGGTATAAATTATTAATAGTCTCCGAGTCGTATTGCCGTTAGTTGCGCCATCCTCCTACCACGCCTGATTGGCGCTCAGCGGGTCAAGTTGGTTCCTGCCGCTTTTGCCTGCGTGTTATATAAGGTTTCCGATGGAATTTACAGTCCGGTGTCGTACAGGTCGCCAGTAAGTTCGCTGGAAACGTCCATTGTACTTTATGCTTACGACCAGTGTCTAAGGATAAACCAACCAATTTAGAGACTTCATTAATCCGCAACACTACGGTTTGAGTCACCAAAACTTGGGGTGAGCAAAACGACATCGTCGGCGTAGTTTGAAATCAGTCAGTCGGCGCCCTAATAGGTCGCTTCTGAGGATGCAGTTGACGGCGTGGTTCAACAGAATGGACGACAGACTACAAACTTGTTGAACATCAGATTAGATACTGAACGGTTGGTAAATTTGTTGTGGACCAGAACTTACACAGCGGTAGAACAGTAGTAGGCCCTGATCATGGCAAGGATCCTTGCGGACATATCGTTTGGTCAGGATGGTATTACCAGCGAAGACAAGGGGGACTGGAATGGTCATTTCTGGCTTATTAGCCGTCGTCAGCCAGTCATATCCAACCCTGAGGTGTGGAACACCTGCGGCTAGATCTCGTGAGCTGTCAGTTGGGCGTCCTACGCCTCTAACCACTGAGCCACGTGTTCAATTGGACTTTTAACTAACAGGCCGCAGGATCGAACCCAGGTGTTCCACACTTCGGGCTTGGGTATAACTGGCTGACGACGGCTAATGAGCCAGAAATGGCCATTCCAGTCTCCTTTGTCTATGTCGGTAATAACATTCTGCCTATATCATGCGCCACTGTGCGGCTGCTGGTTGGGCTCGAGAGAGAGCCCTTAAGGCAAAACGGAACGAGTGAGTTCCGTATCCACGATCGGTGAGCGCCCCCTAACATTCTATATTCCCGATCGAAAACCGACAGGGCAACGGGCTCGTGGCCCGGTGAGTAGAGGCGTTGACTTCTAAACCAACAGGTCGCGAGTTCGAGGCTCGGGTGTTCCACACTTCGGGCTTGGGTATGGCTGGCTGACGACGGCTAATGAGCCAGAAAATGGCCATTCCAGTCTCCTTTGTCTATGTCGGTAATAACATTCTGCCTATATCATGCGCCACTGTGCGGCTGCTGGTTGAGCTTGAGAGATAAGGCACAACAGGACGAGCGAGCTCCGCAGAAACGATCGGTGAGCGCCTCTCTACCATATTGTCTACTTTCAGTATTCACCAGAGGAATTCCCGACAGACAGAATCAAAGGTTGAAGCGAAGTCACAAGAGGCAGACGGCCGTCAGTTGATGGCAGACAATAGAGGGACACAAGAATGGGCCTCGGTTTGAATATCTGGTTGGTACATCCATGCCCAGGTCGAAACGGGGCTTGATTGGGTATCGTCCTTGAGTCGCGCAACTAACCCTCACTGGAGGTCGTTCCACTATCCGCCACCCATAGACGCACCGGTTAGCCAGCAACTTTGCAAACAGGGAACCCTTATTTTCGGAGCCTTTGATAGGAAATCCTTATGACCATCCATGTTGCCGCGATTTGGAAACAAACTTGCTAGTTATGTTGCAGGTGCTTTTCTCCTGTTCGCAAATGCCCACGCTGGGTCGGTATTTGTTTCTTCGAAAGAATTTATGGGCATTTGACTTCTCATGGTCATTTCGCAAAAAATTACCTAGTATTGAAAATGACAGGTCAAAGGACTGGAATACAACTATCTAAGAATGAGGAACCCGATACATTTCTCCCGGAAGTATGGACGGTTGACATCGGAAAATAATCCCGCACCAGTCACTACGGTCGGTGATACTCCCCAAAGAGGAAACAGAAGAACAGAAGTTAGGGTTTAAGAATAAATTCGAAGACCTGTGGAAGTTTCTGCAGAAACTAGGACGACATCGGGATATTTGATAACTGATTCCGCAACTCAACTCTATACATGTGTGATTACGCATCGCAATGATTCAGAGAACATCGTCTAAAACGTTTGCATGAGAGCATACTCCTCGCTATACGGTGCCAAGAATAATCAAATGGGAAGCAGAAGTCCGATTGAAACCAGTTGACACAAAATCTTCAGCATACGACCTCTTCAAATGTTGTTCTCTGCACCTGCTCTCCAGAAAAGACCCATTGCGGAGCGTCAACAAAATAAGAAATCAGGCCCAAATTCTGACGCGCCTTTTGGACTATTGGACTTGCGCTCTTCCACCTTTTGGGAGAGTTATCTGCATGCTTCCACATCACATTTCTGCATAAAATTTACTAGTTTTACTGAGCATGAGCGTCTTTTCCCCAGCCCAGCAAGGGCTCTTCCATAGAGCGCGGTAGGTAAGATGATAGTTGGTAGCCGTGCCCACAGGCTCCCCAATGGTACCTACTGGCCCGATTTCAGTAGCTGTGATTGCGTTCTCATTATGCTTCTCCATTTACGCGCATGCTGTATTACCTGTATCAGATTCATTTTAGAGGTGCTATCCTGGGCAGATTTGCACCGGTGCGATGTCAATGAGGCTTACCCTATGTCAACTTTCATTAGAAGAAGTAGTTGGCTGCCGTTCCCACAGGATCCACAATTGTACCTACTGGCTTGATTTCAGTAGCTATGATTACGTTCTCATTATGCTTCTAAATTTACGCTGTATTACCTGTACCCGATTCATTGTGGAGGTATTATCCTGGGCGGATTGGCACCGGCAACGATGACAATGAGGCTTACCCTTTATCAACTTTCATTAGCAGAGGTAGCTTTCGACTGCCTCGTTATTTGCGGATTTTCTCTTCCGCCCAAACCAACTTTTCGCATCGAGGTCTTACCCGGCTTGCGTTGTGGCGTCCCGCTGCTTGACTCTCGTGTTCTTCTGTCCATTATGTTGGATGGAGTTCTATCGCACACACTGCGGAGTGACCTTTGGAGCAGTTGCCTTCCTCCTATAGGTTGTTCACCTTCATTTGCTTTTCTTCACAAACTGAGGTTAGGATGCATTTATTCCGCACACCGTTAAAAGTCTCCTTGCTCATTTCCATACCTTCCTTGTATTTTTCACCAAATCTAATTTAGGCTTCCACTTTACCTAAAGCATCAATTCCTAGCATATACTACACTCGCCATTTAACCGTTCACTCAATTGTCCCACCCGTATGGCCCCTATTACCACCGGTCCCGATTGACAGGCAGCTGGGAGTTTGCGGTGTCAGGAGGGCTACCAAGTATCATCTAACCGCACGGTAACTAGGAGAGTACACAGAATGGCTGATATTG